AGCAGGAATTCTGCAACCGAATGTGCAGACATTCCCCCCTCACCCCGGCCTGGTTGGATAAGTAGCTATAAATAGCATCACATCAGTTCAGGTCTGGTTTTACGGCCAAATGAGTCCGTGTCAAACTTAAGAAAAAGTCCCTTCCAAAGCTTTTTGGATTCCAGAATTGTGGATGTGTGCATATGAATTATTTTCTGCATTTTATATGTGAGGAAACGGAAGCTTAGAGAGATTGATCTTCCAAACCCTCCCACAGCCAGCAAGTTACTTAAAATAATTATTCAACCGAACATTACAATAAGAAAAAGACAAATCTGGTAAAACTTAAAATATTTATTAGTATGAATCAGTGTGTGTTAAACCAAAAATAACAGATACAATTGGACGATGTGGAGGGCAATGCTTTACTACAGAATATAAGGTGGAAAGGTCCTAACGTCTGCAGCAGCGTCTTCTATACATGAGAACTGGGTCCAGCCCAGACAGAAGCCCTTTACAAAAACACGAGAAAGGGAGCAGTTTACACAACTGAGCGGTGACAATGGATCACTGGGTCTGGTTTCATGGGTAAACCAGAACCTAATAGGTCTGAATGAGGCTTGGAGTCCTTTTAATTTATGAGCCCACTCTTTCTTCAAGTTGCAATGAGCATGGCAGAGCAGGGAGAAGCAGGGCCCCTGAGGGGAGCCAGTTTCAGCCATCACAGGCCACGTTCCTTGATCTCAGGGGGCATACTTTGGTCACCCGAGCCTCCCTCGGTCCTCGGTGGGTCCCAGCCCTTTGCTTGGCTAAATGTTGGCTTTAGGTCTTCAGCCGTCTATGGTTTGCAAGGGAAGTCATCTTTAGCGCCCTGCTGTACCACTTTCCACTATGAAAATGGCAGGTCAATTATGTGCATAGGTAAAAGGTTTGCATGACCCCACTGCCATTTTAGAGATTCCCACCGGGAAATAATCTCTCTGAGAGCCCGTGCCTGCATTACATGACACAGAGTCATGAGCCAGACTCAGCCAGTGAAATGGATCACATGTCGGCAAAACAAATATGAAATCATATTTACACATATACACACGTGTACCGCACAGCAGAGGAAGGAAAACAGAGGATAAGAGCACATTTGGGGAAACTGGGCAAAGGATGCTGCTTGACATTTTGGAGCAACAGTAATTTCCAGGCCTTTACACGATATTGCGTGGTTATAGTTCAAAGATTAGAACAGCCAGAAAGTACCCTCAAGGCAAAGTAAAGGAAGATCAGAAAGCCTCCTTGTGGACAAGGCTCGAGCACCTATCTTCAGGGAAGACGCCGTGTTCCTGTGAATATGTGTGTGCCCAAGTGCCACCTACTCTTTCTACCAATTGCTCCAAGGACTGACTATAGACACATTGTCCCCTGATGGCTTGAATAGTTAAGGCCATACAGGAAGGCAAAAGAGTGGTTCCCACCCTCGTGGGCTTCTGGGTGGGTACCCACCTCGTGGGTGGGTAGCCTACTGGCTAAGACCGGCTGTTTCATGCAAGATGCGAGCACTGAAGACTTGCTGGGCTGCGTACCTCCTTAGCTAGGCAACCTTGTCTAGAGACAAGCCCAGGTCCTCGGGGACAGCTGGATGATGAAAGATTCCAAAATAAGCCTACATTACACCTGGAATTAGGTCATTTGAATTTGCAACCCACATTTTTCTTTAACTTTGGAAAGAGGCAAGATAATCGCTTGGCCTGCAAGCAGAATCACAGTAGCCCATAATAGTGACAAGGTGAAGAAAACCCTAAAAATCCCTGCAAAGGCCCTGCCAAGATGTCCACGTGCCAATTGCTAACAGTTTTTGAGGAACCCGTCTGAGAGAGCTAAGAGGCACTCTTGAACCAAAAATAAGTGTTTCCAGCGTCCACGTCCTAAGATTGTGAAGTTACTCTTGCAAGCTGGATGAAGCGGTAAGAACATGGAACTGACAACACATTCTCGAGTTTAAAAAGCCTAAATCTGAGATTTCGACCTGCTTTCTTGATTGCAGTCCACATGAAGAATTGTGAACTCGGCCCTGGTCTCTCAAGCACTCTCGCTTTTTTGGATGGCAGACTCAGCGTCCCCGCCCATCCAGGGCTCAGGGGCAGAGCATGGCAGGACTCAGCCACGGTTACTGAAAGTTCGAGGGTTTTACTCAGCTTATGATCTCTTCCCTGATTTTTACATTGTAGGTTTTCAATTAATGTTTGTTGAGCCTTGAAGGTACCAGCTGGCCCTGATGCCATACTGCGTGATCAACCACATCTCACCCCCAAAAAGGGCACCAATCTGAATATCCTCCAAGAATCACCTCCCAACATGAGCCCTCATAGGAAACCAACTGCTTCTTGATCCCAGGTTTTTATGAAAGTTAGGATGGAAACAGGATTTGAATTTTCAATGGGGACAGCTCTTCCTCCTTTCCATGGCTTCTTCCCTTTTATCTTCCATTGGATTCAGACATCTTTAATTAATTGAGCAGACAGGAAACCTGAAATGGGAGGGTTCACTGAAGTTTGTTCTCAGCCAACTGGCATTCCAGGGTTGGCCCTCTGGTTAGCCTTAATATCCACACCCCCAAAGCTTGGCGTCTTCTTAAAGACTTTCTCTGATTTTGCAGTTTTGGGGGGGTCTAGAATCTTAATGTGCTGGAACTTCCTCTGGCTGGCTTTCCTGTAACCTATTATTCATTGATATTATTAGAAGTTTGCCCTACAATTTAGATTCAAACATCCTCCAGGTAGTTTGTTCCCCGGATATGACACTATGACAAACTCTCTTAGTAGAATAATACTCTGTGTGAAACTTCCCTAAGAGAGTGGGAATTTATTACTGTGGAGGTGATGCAAACCAGGTGGTCTCTGGAATAATATTTATACCCTGCGTTTGTCACAGTTTACACAGTAGTGACTCCAACGACTTCCAAACCAGGCCTCCCAATCCCAGAATGACACGATATATTGTAGTCAGATTTGGTTGGCTGGTTTATATGACCAAAACTTAGAAAAATGTTCATTAAGTAAAAGTCACAGATGTAGATAAAAGTTCCTGATACATCTTTCTCCACTTTCATAACAGCGCAAGTCTATAGCAGATGGTCCAATTACACTCCACTGAAAGGGAAATTCCATGAACATTTCAGTGGAGGTTGGTTGAGTAATTAAGGCAATGGCACTGAAGGAGTTCCTGAAATTTGGTTAGAAACGTAGGAAATCAGAGTGGAACACCAGTTTAGAATCTCACACACATAAGCCAGTAAGACTTTTGTACAAATTCAAGAACATTTTGAGGCTTTTAACAAAAAACTCAACTATAATTAATACCTAAATCCATTCCCTCCGAGTGAATTTCACACACCAAAGGCCCTTTTCTGGCAGTGTGGTGGTTTTTCCCAGAGTTTTGTAGAATCCTTTTCCAGGGATGTTCCCTGCCCCGTTCCCTGCGGGTCTCACCTCCCTCTGAGCCAGGGGCCAGGCCACCGAGGGTGGGAGGCCCCCACAGCAGCGCACGGGGAGGGGAGCTCCAGCCCCTTCAAGCACAGGGGACCCCAGCCCCAGGTCAGCAGCACCGCCGGCCGGCCTGCGAGGTTGGCTTCAGTTTGATTGTTCCATTGTTTCCGTTTTCATGGGGGTCCAACGGTGGGATCTGGCGACCTGGAAGGAACGGAGGCCAAGGTTGAGTTCCTCTTCCCAGCCAACCCCACCCTGCTTCCGCTTCTCCAGTCACGTGCGGGTCGCCCATGAGGCAGAGGGGCTGTGGTTCTAGCTCTTTCCCCCTCTCCCTCAGCTGTATGAAGTCAAGCTCAAGCATAGAAAGTTAAGGAAAAGTAAAAGCAGCTTTCTGATAATAAGTATTTCCCTGGAGGTGGAAGCCCTGCTCCAGAGCCGGCATCCTCCTCTGCACAAACAGCGGCCACTGGTTCCTCCCAGCCTTCCCCCGCATCCACCACCGGAATGAGCCCCTTCTCAGCTCCTAGGGATGTGTGCTTCTAAATACAGACCTGGCTTGGGAATTGTGATGGTCCCAGTAACATCACGTATTAACACTGAGCTCCCGTCCCTCATCCTGCCAACGCACTTAGAGCATTAACTGGAAAGCCTTTGGAGACATTCTTCACAGGAAACAGTATCTTAAGTGTCATTCACAAGTAATCTTATTTTAATTTAGAGAATTAGCTGAGAGTCTCTGCTAACAAATCCAAAGTAAAAATTAAGCAGGTAGTGGAGGGGGATAGGGTGTCGTAGTTAAAGAGTATGTGTTTTGTTTTTTGTGGGTTTTTTTTTTTTTTTGGAGATGATAAAGAAATCCTAAAGCTGTGCTGATGGGTGCACATAAAAAACACTGAATTGTACATTTTGGTGAAATGTATAGTATGTGAGTTTTGTCTCAATAAAGCTGTCTTCTAAAAAGGGAATGGAATATGGAAATAACAAATATTTGTGTAGAACCTCACAGTTAAAAGATTTTCACAGGGCTTCCCTGGTGGCGCAGTGGTTGAGAGTCTGCCTGCCAATGCAGCGGACACGGGTTCGAGCCCTGGTCTGGGAAGATCCCACATGCCGCGGAGCAACTAGCCCCGTGAGCCACAGTTACTGAGCCTGCGCGTCTGGAGCCTGTGCGCCACAGCAAGAGAGGCCGCGACAGTGAGAGGCCCGCGCACCGCGATGAAGAGTGGCCCCCGCTCGCCACAACTAGAGAAAGCCCTCGCACAGAAACGAGGACCCAACACAGCCAAAAATAAATTAATTAATTAATTTAAAAAAAAAAGATTTTCACAGGCACATCTTCACTGGGTCCTGTGAAGCTGTGAAATGACTGTTATGATCACCATTTTACTATTAACTGGAGAACTTAGGCTACACCTGAAGGTCAATACCAAGGGGCACAGGTGGCTCTCTGATTATAACCTACATATAATCTTGACTTTCTGATGGATCCCAAAGCCTGTGTCCCTCCCACTCTACCACGATAGCTCTTGATGCTACTTTTCTAACCCCTATGGAAAAGGCATGAAACACGAGCTCTAAAACAGGGATTTAAAAAAATCAGCTAATTAGGGCATCAGTTACTAGGTAACCAGTAATTAGAGATGGAAGGGAAATAAGTTCCAAGACAAAGCCCTTCCATGCAAGTGGATGCCCTAAGGACCATAAAGAGAGTCAAAACGCCCTGGAAGAGGTGCATTTTCACAAGGGTGGAAATCGTCAATTTCACAGGTATTAATGCGTTGTGCAGATTGAGTGGTATGGCCACTCATCAAAGCTCAAGCATTAAGATTAAGGTCATTGGCAATTACCCAAAATTCAAAATTCGTGGTCGAGCTCTTATCCGCTTACGGGGCGGACATGAAGGCTGGAGGGATTTCTGCAGCTACTGCTTCTGCCAATTTGTGTCCTCCACAAACCTGTACAAAGCTTCTGCAGGCCATTCTCCAAACAGTTCTGTCCTAATCCAGAAGCAAGTATGTACTTTCCTGTCCTGGACACGCTGTGTCTGTTTTATTAGTCATAAGAAAAGGGAAGGAAACAAAATGCCTCTCCTACCTTGTCAATCTTAAGTGATAAATAGAGGGGAAAGTTCCCAGTGACTGCCAGTACTCTGATATATTTAGGTCAGATCTTCCCGGTCAAGTATTCCATACCCCTCCAGAGAAAGTGATGTGTTGTGGAGGGATGGTAGTGCCAAGTTATAGCATTACTGGTGTTATTTACTTATTTATTTGAGGTATAGTTGATTTACAATCTTGTGTTAACTTCTGCTGTACAGCAAAGTGATGCAGTTATACATACATATATAAACATTCTTTTTCATATTCCTTTCCATTATGGTTTATTGCTGGATATTGAATATAGGTCCCTGTGCTACACAGTAGGACCTTGTTGTTTATCCACACTATAGATAATAGTTTGCCTCTGCTCATCCCAAACTCCCAGTCCTTCCCCCTCCCTCCCCCGCACCCCTTGGCAACCACAAGTCTGTTCTCTCCCTCTGTGAGTCTGTTTCGTAGATAAGTTCATTTGTGTCATACTTTAGATTCCACATACAATTACTTAAGTTGTTTAAATGAACATTTCGGGTGCCTCCTGCGAGTGTTAGGAGCTGTAATAGGGGCTTTTGCATCTGAAATATTTTGGGACAAAATTATAACTCTGACCGGTGCATGCCGCTGCCCTAGTTAACTAGTCAAGTACTGTTTACCGATTAGTGTTGACTACATCCAGATCAGTATCCGACACTCACATCAACCTCATGGTATTCTTAAGTTGTTAACTCTAAAGTTAGCAAAATAGCATTAAGCGGTAAGCCCTCCTCCGTGTGACCGATTCCACACGCCAAGTGTCATAAAGTTTCATAAGTTTTTTCCTAGGAAAAGTACTTCAAATATAGAAACAGCTCATCCAGAAGATTAAAGTCACAGAAGTGGAGTGAAGAGCTAGAAAGGGCAATGCCGGAGCGGCCCATCCCATCCCATCAGCACCTCCTTTGTCCCCATTCCTCCTCCTCTTCCCTGGCCCTCACTTCTCTCCTCAGCAGACGGTCAGGGGGACAAGGTCTGGGAGCAAGATTAGGTAACACCCGAGGCAGCCCCTCAAGGAGATGCCCCTCTTATTTGTTTCAAACTGTGAGCAACGTTTCTGAATCGGTGTCGAAGCCGGCTTCTGAGAGGAGCCAGGTTCTGTTTATCTTCAGAATATCCCAAATCTCACTGAATAGAACAAAATATTTCTCCGAGACAGAATGACTGCAGTTTGTTTACATATTTGGGTTCCATGTGAAATTTTGAGAAAAGGGCTGTTCTGCTAAAAAAAAAAAAAATTAAAAACCGCTGATCCACAGCTCGGTGCTTTGTGACTGCCTGGAGGGGTGGGATAGAGAGAGTGGGAGGGAGGGAGATGCAAGAGAGAAGAGATATGGGAACATATGTATATGTATAACTGATTCACTTTGTTATGAATCAGAAACTAACACACCATTGTAAAGCAATTATACTCCAATAAAGATGTTAAAAAAAACACAAAACCGCTGATCCAAAACACCTTTGAGGGCTTCCCTGGTGGCGCAGTGGTTGAGAGTCCGCCTGCCAATGCAGGGGACATGGGTTCGTGCCCCGGTCCGGGAAGATCCCACATGCTACGGAGCGGCTGGGCCCGTGAGCCATGGCCGCGGAGCCTGCGTGTCCGGAGCCTGTGCTCCGCAACGGGAGAGGCCACAACAGTGAGAGGCCCGCGTAACGCAAAAAACAAAAACAAAACACCTTTGAGGCCATCTGCACTGGAATGTGAATTAAAGGCTTAGATTGGTGTCCCGTGACACATCAAGGCCTTTTTATGGGTATCATGACATTTGTTTCTAGGTTTTGTTCCTGAGAATTGGGCTGCCCAAACCTTATAGTCATGTCCAATTTTGTCATCATCGTGTAGATGTGGATAAAATCTTTTCATCATGGTCAATTGGAAAATGTTCGTTACAAATGTAGCAATTTCTCATTGAAAACTGCCCTCCTGGGGGAACATGATAGATTTCATGGTTCCCCAATGAAGAGGGAAGGTGCTAACTAGCCCTGTGGCTCCAAGTACATCATTATAGTAACTGCTTCCCTTTAAGGAATAAAGGGCCGGTATTACAGCCTTAAAATTCCCTTTTAATACCAATAAAAAGATATTTTCACACTTGTTCTGTGAATAAAGTTTCTTCAGTAACTCCTTAAAAAAAAAAAAGAATTACTGCAGTTTCCTTAGACTTTGTGTTTCGCATCTGGTGGAAAGGGTTTTGAGATCTGAGTGAGACTGTTCCAGGTGAGTGAATTCAGACATGCTATCTGCTCTCTCCAAGACGGCCTTTCCTCACCTACAAAAAGAACACGGGAAGTAGCCTGACAACCACGACGCATCACAGACGCTGTGGCTCATGTGCCAGGAACCCAGGACAATGGGCGGGTCCCCAGCATCCCAGGCTCTGGATGCAGCTACGTTAACAACCCCTGCCTCCCGCTCCGCGCAGTGGATGCTTAGGATTCAGTTACTAGGATGGGGCCCATCCTGCTCTTCTCCTAAACACTCAGCCGGGGAGGGGCCCACACATTCCAGCTTCAAACAGTAAGAAGAAAGGAAGTGATTTCAGTTTCAGGCAGAGAAAGGAAAGCCGGGCCCTAACAACGACGCAAGCACCTTAAAAAGTGCAGGAAGACACCAGCGCTGTGAAAACACACCAAGAACTCGGATCTTGTGGTCTGAGTTATTTGGAACTTACTCAAAGCTTAAATGCACTTACACAATAGCATAGTTCCGGAAAATGCCATGGCGTTTGGTACCAAGGTGATCACCTTGGAACACTACTGAATCAGTATTAATTACATGGGCACAGAATTGGACAAAAATATACACGCAAACATCTGAAAGAAACATCACTGCATGTTTCTGCTCTTATAAAATGTCCTCTGAGTACACAACCTCCAAACAGCTCGTTCTGGAGTATAAATCCTATGGCAGGGTGTTTATTTTAATAAGGTTTGGATTGTGTAAGATTCTGCTTGGGACAAGTTAAAAGACTTTTTTTTTTTGGAGTTCCGTTTTCCTGAAAGTTGATAGCCCAGAGAAAGAGCAGGCTTTAATAAATGATTCCTCAAGCATTCAATATGTGAGAAAACAAACTC